CAGATAGGTTTTTTATGTGCCTTTTGCTACTTACATTTTCCAAAATGAATGGACTTGCAGTGTTATTTTAAAATTTCATCGTTTTGAACCTTTCTCGACTCTCAAACCTACTCCTTATTCATGGAATTTTATTATTAAAACCACAGCCTCCCAGGGACTCCTGGGCAGATGACCCTACAAACCTTCCACTGCACTGGGCAAACTAGCGCAGATCCCCTCTCCTCCCAGGTCATATCCTAGTCATTCTGGGCCATGAGACTCACTTGGCTGTTCACAATCTTGGACTCCTGGTTTTAATTCAAAATCCAAATGTTTTCTTATATCCCGGCTGAGTGCAGAACACTAATCCTTGCCCAATGTCTCAGGTACTTCGTTTGATTGGTTTTTTGCACTAGGGATTGAACCCAGAGGTGCTTTACCACAAAGCTACATCCCCAGCCCTTTTTTTTTTTCATTCTGAGACTGGGTCTCACTAAGTTGCTTAGGGCCTCACTAAATTACTGAGGCTAGCCTCAAAGTTGTGATCTTCCTGCCTCAGTCTCCTGAGTTACTAGGTTATAGATGTGTGCCACTGAGACCAGCGCTTGGAGAGGGAAAGTTAGCTTTCTGTCCTAACCAGCAGTTTTTGACCAGAAGTTCCTCCTTCCTACAAGGGGTATCAATCTCCCTTTAGAACATCCCGGTAATCAGTGCACCACAGGCCACACCTGCTTGGAGTCACTTTAAAGGTATATGGACTAGTCAGCAAATAAATTTATGGAGCAGGGGTGTAGCTCAGGGGTAGAGTATGTGCTTTGTAGAGTGATGCCCTGGGTTTGATCTGGAGCACCACAAAAAAGGGTGGCGGGGGCTATGACCCTTTGTGGAGTAAACATTATGTTCATTATCCTACTGGTGTCAACAGAGAATGAATAACCTTATTAAGAGAGGACATTTGAAGCATAGAGTGGGACTCAACAAAGTGTTATAAGGAAGTCATTTCTTGGGATGTAGGATTGTGATAATGGATTCCCTTTTATTTAAATTTCTTATATGAAACGTATATTAAGTCATGTTTTAAAGTGTTATTACCAGGCCTGTATTTATTGTTATTCTTCCTGTGTGAAGTGTTCTCTTAGGGTCTTTAGCTTGGCTGCAGTTACTGGGTTTATTTGAATAAGAGAAGAAACACAAGACAGATGTTAGGATCCTTTCTGGCTGAATCTTTTGGGCCTTGAGACCCATATTACCAAAAGCAGCATTGTGGAGAACAGGTCGAGTGGGTGTCACCTAAGTAAGTCAATGCCAGGTCACTGGAGGAGCAGGGGGGTGACACACAGATGGGGTGGGAGCCAGGAAAACCTACGCTCAAACTGTAACAGGTTCCTTTATTGTTTCAAGCCTCAATTTCACCACTGGTGAAACAGGGATAATAAAAGGAACTCTTCCAAGTTAACCTACTTTGAAGCACAACATGGCCAGTAAACAGAGGAGGACCCAGGGTGCGGCGGAGGGTGGTGCCTCAAACAAGACCATCGCCTTTCAGCAGTGAGAGCAAGGAGGGAAGGCCAAGGAAGCAATCTTCTGTGCCTGTTGCTGTTTAAACGATGTGAATGGTAATTTCTTAAGAGTAAAATGAAAGGAAACACCCATTCTCTGAGTGGGAGGGAGGGAAAGGCAAAGAGAGCTGGGGGTGAGCAGCCCCTGGTGCTGTACGCGGTTGTGCCCTGATGAATCCCTGAGGTCTGGGCCCACACAGGCTCTTGGCGTGTGCTGGAAAGTGCTTTATGGGAACCTCCTAAGGGCAGGTATGCTCTAGTCCCAACCCTCAGCCCAAGGTGACTCCACAAATATTTGAGCATCTAGTGTAGATGAGATGCTGTCCTCACTCACAGAGGAGGGAAATAAGACTTCAGGGTCCAAGTTCAAAGTACACAGACATGTCAAGATATAATTTGAGACACAGCTTCAGGAGGGGATTAAGTCTCTTAAATGGAGCTACAGGAACCTGTACTTCCCAGCTGGCAGAACTGAAAGCTCCCTAGGAAGATGGGAAATTCTGCTGCACCCTAAACCAAGCACAGGACTTTAGCAGTTGAAAAAGGATGGCTCTGCATTCTAGAGAGGAAGCAGCCCAAAGCAAGGGTGTGTGTGGCAGAGCAGCCAACACAGGCTGGCATGGGACATCGACTGACTGGTAATAAAGCAAACAACAAAATAACAACTGTTACTCATGAGAAGGGGCATTAATAATAAAGGGAAGGGAAAAGAAAATGTGGAGGACTCAAACGGAGTGAGCCCCTGAACCAGTGGGGATGCCCAAATCAGTGGAGAGTGGTGTGATCAGAGATGTTCCTCATTGGATTAATTTGGCAACTCTGCAAAATCAAATGTGTATGCAGAAAGGCTGCAGGCCAGAGACTGGGAGGCTACTGCACCAGGCCAGACCTTGACGGCCAAGGTCAGAGCAGGAATAACTCAAGGGAAGGAATAGGTACAATCAAAAACAAGGATGGAATTTTATTAGCAATTCTTGGAATACTTTCAAAACTCCAGCCTTAACACTAGCCTAAATATCTGTACAAAGAGTCTGGAAAGGTCAGCTCCAGCTATTTACTTATTTTGGTGCTCACTGGATGCCATTTCACATTCCTCAAAAAACAGCACCTTGTCCCACAAGAAGACAGCACTGAAAGGCAATGGATCCCCAAACAAAAAGAAACTCAACGCTCAAATTTGATACTCTCAAAAACAACCCAGAGTGCAGCAGTGCGTACTGCCAGCCCTTCACTAACGGCTCTGACCACACTGATGGTAAAATTATAACTCTACAGATTTTTTTCCCCCCAAATACTTTCCCTTCTTCAGGGTACACTGTGACCTGTTCAGAAATGGGCCTGGCACTGAGGCCCTGAGTCACCCTAGCTTTCTTGTCTCATGTGAGAGCAGCTGAGGTTAAAGTCCTCTACAGCGACGAATGGCTGCAGGTTTCAAGGAGCAAATCTTATTGAACAGTCTGGAGAAATGAGGTCCAAAGGAGGGAGAGAAAGAATCCAAAACAACCCACACAAAAATAAATGATGGTGGCCATGGATCAGGCTAAGGATGAACAACACTGAAAGCAAGCAGGGCCGGGCCATCTTCTAGTTCTGGGGAATGACATTCCAGCAACTAGGACAGGTGCTCCCTGGGAGACACAGCCACGCCCCCCTTCCCAGGTAAAAGCAGGTTCAAGTGACCACCTCAGCAGAGGCCTCAGGCAGTGATCAGAGCCATCTCCAATCCAAGGACAGCCAGATGTGTCCTCACTGGACAAGTAAGGGTAAGAAAGGTCCAAATAAAGGTAAGACAGGACAATTTTCTCCTAGAGAGCTCTTGGTAAGAGTAAGCAGGTGGGAAAGAAGAGCTCCTTGCAACTCCTGGAAGGCACAGCTTACCTTAGAGCCCTCCAGGTAGCTCTGGAAAGATACCTGGCTAACAGGGGATGAGCAAAGTCCCCAAGATGTCCACATGTGTGAATTTCCAAGATAAAAAGTCAGCTCTTCTACTTTAAGAGCCCACATATTAGAATCCTAACCATTCTGAAATTAGAATTTCTTCAAAATATATTAGAATGAACCATGCAGATTTAGCATTTCTATAGGTCAAATACTAACAAGTCACATGAATCCATTGCAACATGCCTTCCAGCTTTCCTCTACAGCAGGGTAGGCAAAATTTTCCAAATGGGATCACAGACATTTTAGGCCTTAAAGGCCATAAGGGAAAAAACAGGGATTATGTCAGTGTAGCCATTTAAAATATAAAAATAAAATGAGTTCAGCTTCTACAAAAACAGGTACCGGCTGGATTTGGCCCATGGGCCATCGATCACCCACCACTAGTGTTCAGTTTGCAGGTGTGAACTTAATTCTGTAATGCTAAGAAAATGGCTGATTTTAGAGTAAAACAATAATGCCCTTGGAGAGATTTAAGCCTAGGGTTGAATTCACCGGCCTTCATGCTGGAAGCTGATCTGAATCCCGGCTCTGTTGTCATAAGCACTTGCCCTCCATCTGGTTCATTTTATAAGCAATTGTCTGGGTGAGCACTTGAGTGTGCTTCTGACTTTTCTATGAAGGGAAACCCTGAGCTGTATAAAGAAACAGGAAAGAAAGGTGAACATGAATAGATATAACCAGAGAAAGACAATGGGAGCAAAAGCCCTGTGGGGAATGGCCCTCATACACCTGGAGAAGCCAGAATTCCAGAAGCTGCAAAAGGAAGCAAGAAAAACAAAGGACTATCCACACAGTTAACCCCTAAGGAACAAAAAGAGTAAATGAGACAATGGCCCTTTATGTGAGTGAAGGAGACCTGAGATGGGAAGGAATTCCTTTTCCTAAATTGATTAAGGGTAGAGACAAACAGAAGAACCACAACCACCAGAAAGACTGCTGGAAGAACCAGTATCCTGAGGCACTGAAAAGTCATCACAGAGGGAACCGCCACAGTCCTCCTTTGGAGAATGTGGAGAAATAGCCAAGCTCTCTCTAGAGGATGCACCCAGAACAGAGGAAGACCTTCTCCTCTGGATCCACAAATTTCTTTTTTTCTTTTTTAATTTCGGAGGAATAAAAACAATTACTAGGATGTGTTTCTAATTTATAGCATTACTATCGTTCCAAACACTAACACGTGTTGTAAGGAAAAAAAGAAAAGACTTAAAAAAAAAAAAAAAACCTGTATGGGAATGGGCACATAGAAACAGAAAAGGGAGGGGCTGATCTTTTGATTTTACAGGATCGCTTGATCATGAAAATCCTCATTTAAATAACATTTCTCACCATCAAAAACCTACCCTAGAGCAATTCATTGTCCTGCATTTCTAAATATTCTCATTTAAATCTTATAAACTTTCACTGGCTCAGGCTCCTACCCAGCAATATTCTATAATGGAGAAGGGAGGGGGGGGGAGGGGAGGGGAGGGAAGGGGGAGGGAGAGGGCACATGCATAAATGAGCACACAAGCCCTTACGTACATGAGCTGCCTGGGTGACAGTGAGCCTCCAGGTACCATCTGCCCATAGTGACAGTCAGCACATTAGCAGGGACCTCAACTGCTCCAAGTACTCACAAAATATTGAGTTGGTTAGCTGTGGTAGGGAAGACAAAAAAAAAAAAAGAGAGAGAGAGAGAGAGAGAGAGAGAGAGAGAAACAAAACAGAGACTTAGGATAATGATCACATTTTTTTCATTAAAATGCTAATGATGACCACAAATTTCCAGATAGCCATGTTTATGAATTATTCATGGTCAATGTGAGATGAAGTCTCCTGTCATTACAGGCAGACATGGGGCTTGCTGGTGATGAGCATGTGCCCCCGGAATGTGACAGAATGGCAGGTCACCCCAGGTCCCTCGGCCAAGGTTGGTCCTTAGTGGCCCTCTCTAGAAGTCTGGGTAATCCCACCCACATTTCCCTGATACCTCTTCATCTCATTCTTCCTCATGTCAAGGGACAGCACTAGTGTGGCTCTTTATTGTGATACCTGCACTAATATTCTGTTAATCCTCTAAAAGCTTAAAAAGAAGGAAGGAGATTTTCTGCATTGGAGAGGTTACACAGCAAACTAATTAAAAAAAAAAAACTTATCATAGAACTATAACATAAATATGAAGCTGGGGTTGTGGCTCAGTGACAGAGCGCCTGCTTAGAATGTGTGAGGCACTGGGTTTGATCCTCAGAACCACATAAAAAAATTAATAGATAAAACAAAGGTGTTGTGTCCATGTATAAATAAAAAATTTTTTAAAAAAGTATAACATAAACATAAAAAATCACACACACAAGTGCCAATTCAATTAATTTTCATAAATTCTGCATAGCAGAGGCAACCCTTAATGGTCCCCTTCCAATGGTAATGCCTCTGCATAGATCACTTTGCCTATTTTCATAGACATCAAACTGATTTGCTGTCATTGCAAATTTTTAGTTTAAAAAAAAAAAAACACGCTGAATATGTCAAGCACTGTACTAAGCACCTGAGCTACAAAGAATAAAGCCTCCATCACTGTCTCTAAGGAAAGTGAAGACCAGTGGGGCCAAGGGACACACATAAACTGGGTCCCATGGGGCAGTTGAATGAATGGAATAATTTGTGTCAAGCCAGGGTACATAGCGCAGAAATGGAGAGGTCAGGTATTCTTCCAGGAAAATGGGATACCTGTGCATCCCAAGGCTGGGAGAAAAGACAATGGAAAAGGCAGAGGTTAGAAACTACATGGAGTAGGTGAAGCCGCAGCGTGAGGCCAGGAGGAAGCCCGGAGTCAGAGGGCAGCCTTGTTCATCTATTGGGAGGGGGCAGGGGCTGACTTTATCCTGGTTCCAGACAACCACGGATGGGTTAGTCTGTTTCAGAAGCAGTGCTTGCTCTGGATGGATCTGCAGGGGCCAGAGGAGAGCAGGTGTGCGGTGGGGCCCCTTTGGTTGTTACAATCATCAGAGAGCAGGGTGGAGACCGGGGCAGTAGAAGGAGGCGGGGAATGGGAAAGAAGAATTAGTACTTGGAAACACCCAGAAGCTAAAAGCAGAACAACATGGTGGACTCTACATGGATGGATGGTAGTGACAACTGAAGGAATAAGGAAGACAAAAGTTTAGTTTGAGGCATTAGATATTAGAGTGTAGAAGAGTCAGGCAGAGTGTACCCTGATATTTTTTTGGGGGGAGGGGTTTGGTTCTAAAAATAAAGTTAGTTTCTTTTGACAAGTGGCTCCTGATTGTGCCCAGCCAGACTGCGGCAGTGGTGGTTGTTGTTGTAGATGGACACAATACCTTTATTCTTTTTATTGTTATGTGGTGCTGAAGGTGAAACCCAGTGCCTCACACATTCTAGGAAAGGGCTGTACCACTGAGACACAATCCCATCCCATATCCAGATATTCTTGGGTGAGAAGGTAGGGAAGAAATCTGAGCAAAACATAAAGGCACATAAGGGGTTCTCACCCAGAGAGCAGCACAGACCCCATCAGCAGGGGGTGTCCCTGGAGGAACACAGCTGGGTGAGAAGGTTATAGGATTGGCATAAGCGGAGCCTTAGAGAACACAACAACAGAACAGGCAGCAGGAAAAGATCTTTTGAAGAAAACCAAGAATGGCAGAGAGGTACCATGGGGGACAAAGAGGTGAGAAAGATAAAAAATGAAAAATGTAGCACTGGATTTGACATTTAAGAAATCACCGGCAGGTAGGTCACCTTGATGGAGGACCATTTCAGTGAAGTGGTGGAGGAGGCAGAAAGATCAGATTGACAGAGCAGGGTAAGGAGATGGATGGCTCCCAAGAGCTTAAGTGCTCAGAGAAGGACATTCTCTTGGACTGAGGGACTCGGGAGGGCAAGGCAGAGGGGAGTACCAGAGGGAGGAGGGAAGGATTAATCAGATCTCAAGAGGCAGAGAGAAAGGTCCGGAGTACAGACCAAGGGGCTGACCGTGGAGAAGGAGGAGAATCCCCAACCCTGTGGTGTGACAAGGAGCACAAAGATGAGATCTCGTTATAGTCAGTTCACAATTAATAGTACTGGGGAGTGGGAGGTGATAAACCAAATGACATCAACATTCTTGAAAAGAGACGGCAAGGCTCTTTCGGGGTGACAAGCAAATACTTTCAGGATATAGATTTTGATTCTTAGTCTCTGGCATGCTACCCCTCCGCTGCCAAAAAAAAAAAAAAAAATCAAAGCAGTCCCATCCTGTTTTAAGGTCAACAAACACATACCAGTACATATGAAGTGGAAAAGGGCATTTTAGGGTAAACACTCATAACAGAGTATCAAAAAGGAAAAAAAAAAGTATATAAACAAAAGATTGGAAGCAGGCTTGTCCCCAAATGATCTCAGGTCTCGGGTGCAAACTTTCCAAAGTTCTGCATATACTTTCATTAAGCAAAACCATTACCACCATCCTATAAAGCCTCCTAGAGATGTGCCAATTCACAGATTCCCTCCTAGCATGACGGACCTAATGAACAAGAGAGGGAGGCAGACACCAGCAAGCTAAGGCGAGGAGGAGGGCAGAGTGGAGCCTGCAGCAGCCCCTGCCCCTGGATGACCTAGCAAAGTGCCTCCTAAGACTGCAGCCAGACCTTCCCACTTCAGGCTCCTCCTGGGGTTTTGGTGAATCCAGAAATAGGGTGCACTGACTTAGGTCTTGGAGGATATCCCAATAATGGCAAAAGGAGCATAGTTCCTTAGAAACCGAATGCAGGGGAAAACACCTTGAAAAGCAGCTTTTATGTCCTCCGGGCAGCCTTTGTGATCTCAAAAACCCTTGGGCTGCCTCATGGTTTGTCTCTGTGTTAGTGAGTGAGATCTAGGCCATCTTTGGAATTTTCATTGAAGTCAGCCAGGAATGAGATGGTTCCAAAGGCATCAGATGTCAACAAACTGGGCCATTCATCTTTGTCTCCCTGGGGGCATGGGCTATAGTAGGCAGTCAATAAGTGTGGACTCGATCAATAAACCAGTACAGAGTGAAGAATTTTCACAACTAAGAGGTAAGAAGGCCAATTAAATGGTGACTACAGAGGTATCTTCCTGTCCTACCCTGACTCAAAGCAAAGCTATAAATCACATTCAGCTGCATTTATTTTTCACAGAAGAAAATCTTCATGAATTCATAAGTTGGAGGTTTCAGAAATTAGGAAAACCAGGAGGCCCATTAAACAGGAAACACCTACCAAATGTTGGTAGGTGCCAACATTTGGGAGCTCATGAAAACTTTGCCCCATCCGCCACCTTTGTGAGCCCCGCTGGCCTAGCAGCATGGGGCTTCTCCTCATGCTCACGCACAAGGCGGCCTGCTTAGGTTCAACCCACTGGAGCAACAAGATGAACACCCATGGATCATCAGGCTTCGCTGCCCCAAAAACTCACCTTGGTTTCAGGTCCACATCTTTGTCCCAATATATACATTTCTGATACCCGCCACTATATTTCTTTTAATACAGGAGCCCTGAGACATCACGGAGCAAACTGCACATTTTCTATATTACACAGCATCACATTATACTATTTGTCGGGAAATAAGTTCAATGATAGTTTCTAAAAATGAGAGTGATGATTTTTTTTTTTTTTTAGGAGTATGTACTATGTGACTTTTCTTCTGAGCTGTTAAAAAGTAATTTGATCCTGAAAACATGGAATTGGATTCCGTCCATCTCATCAGCAGTATCTTGAGAACAAAACAAATTTGGGGGACTGTCATTCCTCTTTGTGTTCTTGAGAATGTAAAGAGACCACGATAAACAATACATGTTCACTTAAACGCAAGTCATCAAGGAAAGACAGGGAATTCATTTGTCAGTCCACGAAGTGTTTAGTGTGCAGCTTTTTAACTACTATATTTATGGTACCATCCATAATATATTCACCCCCACTAATCCTCTACAAGGTCATTAATCCTCAACAAATACATTACTGCTTTCCTTCTTTCCTACAAATTCTGATTATGCTGATGCAGGGCAAAAAAAAATGCCAAGAATTCTCTCCAAAACAAACATTTCATGTCAGCAGCCACTAGTTCTATTGCCCTCATCTAACTATTTTAAGATACTGTAATATCTCTGCTTAAGTATTTGGTGTTATAGACCAAAACATGAATCTGTAAACAAAATTTCTAAAAATGACTTTGCTTAATGCAACATTTTTTCATATTAAAGATGCTGTAAGGTAGCTGTGGTTGCTTATGCTCTTCAAAAATAATATATTCTGTAACTCATTAAATTACAATGTTCTCTTCTTTATAAAACAGTATAATTTCTGCTTTTTAGAAATCTCAAGGAGAACTGGGAACAGTGGAAGACACCTGTCATCCCAACTATTCAGGAGGCTGAGGCAGGAGGATCACACGTTTGATGCCAACCTAGGCAACTAAGTAAGAGCTTACCTCAGAATAAAGACAAAAAGGGCGAGCAATGTAGCTCAGTGGTACAGCACTTGCCTAGCATGTGTGAGGCCCAGGGTTCAATTCCAGGCACTGACCGTCCCCTCCCCCAAAAAGAGGAGGGGGGGAGTCTTAAAGAATAAAACATTGAGCATGATCAAGATTTTCATAATAGCTGAAGAACCACCCATGTAAATAGTAAACGGGTTTA